TCATAAGACTGCCCCCTACAGTCTTTTATGGAAATTTAATGTTCTTGTAGAAAATTCCAGTGTGTTCGTGAATTGTAATGAATTTTACAAAACATTCAACAGGTCCATCAGGTAGTACATAGTAAAATATTAATGTCAGCTGATCAGTGTGTGTGAAATGTCAGGAGTCGAGTCGACACTAACAGAATACTACTTTGCATTCTTTATCTCGGTGATGATGTGATGGAGAACTCCTTGGTTGACAATGATAATAAATTCGTCTCATATGGTAAGTGACAGGTATGAAACCTGACCCTTTCCTTTGTTGGCATTCTTCTGGATATATTCCACAACAAACGGGTCTTACTCAGCTAATAATTCTAAGCATCCAAGATAATTTCCATTATGGACAGAACCTACCATTTCATCACTTCCGCCAAAAGGTAGATCTCGTGCTGAGAAGATCTTTCTGACACTGAGTACTCGTCTAAGAATCTGGCGTCGATACTTTTTTTCAGATTCGTATTGTTCGGGTTAAGCTTTTGTCAATGCATTCACTGATGATTCTCTGCTTTATTAGAATCTCGATGGACTTCGCATTCAACGGACTGTTTTCATGACGGCATAAGTCTCTCACTGCGTGCCTCCAATCAGTATATCCCGTCGTAGCTAAATGTTGTCGCGAATAGCTTGCAATGAGCACAAAATAATTTGCCGGTTGTTGATTAATAGCAAAGCCAGTCTCTTCTGACTTTCTTTTCATATAGAAAACTATATTCTTACCTTTCTGTAGATATTTTCAGAAATCTTTGGCTAGAGTCTATTACTTGCTGATTGAAACTATTTGCGTATAGGCTAGAAGCTTAATAAACTCTGATTGTCAAAAATAATTATATACCACTCTATACAAGTATTATTCTTACTATTATTTCTGTTATATGTTTGCCATCAAACGATTTCTAGATAAACAATTACTAACGTAACACGCATACAAACAGTGTGGACTTTTTAATAACATTGCCAACACATCCCAGCTGCTGGGAAGTTGAGATACTTGACCCTCTGTATAAAATAAAATGACGTGTTTGCCTAAGAGTGAAACAAGAAATGCTTTCGTTTCTACAAAACTGACAAACAAACTAGAAATTATATTTTTATATCTTTCAAAACTTCACTTTATGTACACTATAACATTTAGACTTATTAGTTTACCAAATCATCAAATACATTTCCACAAATAAATTTAGTATATAAAAAAAAAAATGGCAATCATATTCAAGTGATTATTTTTGACTATTTGAAAAATGTAACTTCAGATATTTTATCAACATAAAAATTAGTTTGACTATGATCGATTCAATTCTACTTTTTAAGTTTAATATTCATGATATCTACTTAGACTTAAAACTACGTCATCTTTACAGAAATGTGAAATTTATGAGATTTATAATTTCATTATACGATACGACGTATTGTGTATGCCTGTACTCGAATGGTGACAGAGTTAGTTGTTTCTGTTTGTTTGTAATTAAGCACAAAGCTACACAATGGGCTATCTGTGCTCTGCCCACCACGAATATCGAAACCTGGATTCTAGCGTTGCAAGTCCGCAGACATACCGCTGTGCCACTGGGAAGCAGTTGTTTCTAGATAGTGTTTATAAGCTTGGTTTCAAGTTCAGACATATTCTAATTCATATTATCAGTCTACAGCAAACAGTCTAAAGTTTCAGTCAAATCTGGGTAACTTTTCAAATAAAAATACCCTGCACCTTTCATCACTAATAACACAGGCCTGCAAATTTAAACTTCGTAAAAGTTGTTTTGCTTTTAATAACAGATTTTCCATAATTCAGCTACGCAGATTTCGAAAATAATATTCATTTTTTTTCTATCGCGTAAGGATTTTTTTACAAATCGGTAAGCTATAGGCGTGTCATATTTCCAGCCAACCCACGACCTCTGGTACTGAATGAAAATACAATAGACTTTCTGATTTGTCAACAAATACATGCATTTGAAAAGTGTCATGACTTTAGTCTCATTTTTGCTGTAAACTATATTCTCTAAAGGTAAATAGCAAATATGTTATATTTATAAAAGAATAGATGCGAGAAACCTCTACTATTCTGAATTTATTTATATTTGAATAACTTAATTTGACACTTATTCAATATAATGTAAATATATTCTGTCTTGTTCAACTTTTGTTTCCGGTTTGTATGTTTATTCATTTAGTCAGCTCAGCTGTTTTGAAGTTAGATATACTGATTCGTCTTAGGCTGAACACGTCAGAATGAGTCAGGGTGAAATGTTTCCATGGTGTGAATGGCACAGATATAAACTAAAAGAAAGTCTGTGTGAAAGTAGTTTTAGTGGTAGTAGTGATCTCTCAATGATCGTTGCAGACATTTTGATTAACACATAAATAAAGTTCGTTTATGTCAAATAGGCTATACTCTCAAACCACAAAGTTTTTTGAATTTTATTTATACTGTATGTTTTATACTTTAAGTGAATATTCTATAGAAAATGGTAAGTGTTGCTATTGTTACGTCTCCGTTTGTTAATTAACTTTCCGTAACTTCGTCCCGACGAAACTTTAGCGACACAAGTCCTTACTTAATAAAACTGGTTTATTCTTTCCGAATATAACTTTACGATACACTTAATATCAACAATCGCGCTAAAACAAACGCTATAACAACGAACGT